TGAGGACATGATGTTTGATTCTAAGAAACAATCTGATGTTTGTTTGGGTTTTGAGAACAGTTTAGCCCTCATTGAAGAAACATTTGAAAAACAGGGGCCATTTGATGGCTTGCTTGGATTCTCCCAAGGAGCAGCATTTGTGGGAATATTGTGTGGAATGCAAGAAACAAATTGTAAGTAATTTTTGTTATTCAGTTCAAACAAATTAGCTATGCAATTTTAAATTACTTTATTGACCAAGCCATGCCATTGCTACAAATTCTTATATTTTAAAACATTTTCCATATTTTTTGAGAAAAAACAGGCTCATAGTTGTGTCTAATCTGTGCACCTGCCTGAGTGGAAATTATGCACAGAAATGAGTCATTGAATTTTATAATCATTACTTGATAGCTCCTGGTAGCTTTACTAGAAGGAATGTAGGCATCATAAGTTCTTGGTTATAACATCTTGTCTAATAGCATATTTCTTAAATGTTGTGAAATTTGAGGTTCTCACAGATGGCTGTCTTCTGGGTTGTTTTACTGTGTTGTGTGGTAGAAGTTTGAGCATTTCAGAGGTGGCTATTGCCTCTGAAATGTTGGTAAATTTCTACCAGAATACACAGTGTAACAACTCAGGAGATGGTCATCTGTATTTTTAAACATTGTTTTATCCTGTAGGGTTGAAATATGAATTCAACTTTGCAATAATGGTCGCTGGGTTCAAATCACTGTGCCATCCTCATCTTAATTATTACTTCAAGCAATCATCAGTACCATCACTACATGTGTATGGAACAAATGACAAAGTCATCAGTAGAGGTAAGTTTTGCTTGAGTTGAAAAGTGGTCAATAAATAAATCTTTCAGACCTGCTTCTATCATTATGCCCAGATGCTGTACTGGAAGAACAAGAGATTTTTAATTAGTATTGTTAAATATATCAATATTCCTGCACTTTTAGCAGTGATAAAAGAATCAATTTGCATGACCAGGATACCCATGGCAGGCTGCTGTCATCAAAGATAGGATGGGACATAAAACTTTGTTGGTGACAGATCATGTTGGGAACCTGGTGTTAATCATATTTACAAACTCATACAAGAATTAAGCAGATTTGTGCTCTGTATCAGGCTACTGTAATCTGTTCTTTATTTTACTGGAACTTCTAATTGAATGTTGGCAATGTTTCAAAAAATGGCTCTCCATAGAAAAGGATTGGTACTGATACATGGTAGAATATATTTCTGATTAAATTCTGTAACTTTTTTTGGAACATTTTTTAGTATGATATACAATTTTCCCATGTGTAAAGTTTATTTTCTAAAGTCTGGACATTTTGTCCATAATATATGTGTTAAAAATGTTCCACATTATGAGTTCCTGTTTGTAACATTCTCCCAAATTACATGTTTGAAATAATTTATGTTCAAAGGACATATTTACCAGTTACTGTGTAACTTTAGATATAATTCTGTTTTTTACATGCCATCCTCTTGTGGTTTCAGAAATGAGCGAGTTGCTGATGGAGCATTTTGTTCACACAGAGATTATTGAACATCCAGGTGGGCATTTTGTGCCTGCTTCTGGCCCGCAGAGACAAGGCTATATAAGTTTCCTAGAGGAAAGAAAATGTGAGGTGGAAAGTGAGGAGAAGAGGAAGCAGAG